TAAAACATGAAATTTTTTAATGGTTTTAATCATAATCAATTCAGTTTGCCTCCAACGTAACGATCTGGCAACAGCTTGCTGAGGAAACATGCTATGAGACAAGAGGCCTTGCATACTAATGCAATGAAGCGGTGACCTAATTATTTAATCTATCAAATTAATCGGATTATAATTATTTAAGCAGATTAATAAACTGTTATACCCCTCAAAAGGCGGATAATTAATTACCAGTAATTATAACGACAGTGATGAGAATCATAATGAGTATTTATGAAAAAAATTGTTATTAATGATTAGCTTTTAATGATCTCTCATTCAACTTGTTTAAAACGCAATTAATTTCGCAGGACTTAGGGAAAGAAGCTGATCAGCGTTTTTTAAATACGAGAATGCGTTTTTTAAAAATATGGTGCGGCGCGCGCATCACATAAGTTTTACTTTTATCACATTGCAATTTTGGTTTATTATTTTCAATAATGACCATTGTGATCGAAAAAAATACAAAATCTTAACCCCCTCTCAAAATTTGAGGTTTCAAGTTTCAGGATATGTAGAATTAGAAAAAATAAAATAAAAAAATTGTTGTCCGACCGCCGTACGCCGTCCGCGCATTTTCTCCGAAACTACTGGACCAATTTTTTTCTAATTTGGATATAATGAGATATAACCAGAGCTCACCCGAGGATGGTCCTCCTTCATCGAAATTACTATCCGCCTTTTACTTTCAAAATGGCGGCCAAAAACCTGCGTTGCTATAGACTGTAGTGCCTAAACGAACGTACCGATTTCAATGAAACTTCACTAAAGTATTTTTCTTCAAGTTTTTCGATTGCTGGTCAATAAAATAGCCATTTTTATTATGATTGTGAGTATTTTTACTTGTTTAGTTTTAGGTGTATATGTATAAAATTTATTCAAATACATCTATGTATTAATATAAATTATAATTTGTGTATTGCCAAAATCTATCTAATTCAATATTAATTAATATCAGACTTAATATCAAAGCTGTACATATACAATTGAATTCCGCACTTAGTTCGCTTAAGATATAGGTGCCATCGTTGATTCTCGGTCTCTTCAAGTCTGACGACTTGTACTCATTTCGTTTATCATATTATCTTTTTTTTTTATGACTACTTATAATGTGAAATGGGTTATTATTTTAAATAAACAAAATTAAATGTATATTAGTTAAAACATATTAACTATAAGAAATATTAAAAATTCGGCATTTAACTGTCAGCCTATTTAAACGAGGCCAATATCTGCCTTTTATTAAATACCACTCAATTTTATAAACGAGTTTAATCGACGAGAGGTTTTCACGTTACAAAAAATTGTAAAAATTTGTGAAATCGATCAGGCAGGCACATTCCTGCCTTAAATAGGAAATTTCAATTTCGAATGACTTTTCGATTTTGTGGTGTTCTGATCAAATTTGAACTCAGAGGGCCTCTAAAGATTTATTTCCGTTGAAGACTCCAGTTCGTAATAAGCCACGAGCCTAATAATTTCATCTCATGTCATGGTAAGCGCATTTTAGTGACGACCCACAAAACGACACTCGACCAACCCGTTATAGTTTGAATAGGTTTGGTTTTAGTTCTAGAACAAACCTCCCTCCCCCTTTTCAAGGTAAGTGAAAGTAAAACAGACAAATCTAATTTAGTTTTATATATCTTATTTAAATATACCCTTGATAAAACTTGACAAACAATTTTTTTCGAATATGCCAAAGAATGAGAATTAAATTAATGTTCAGGCTAAATTAGATCTAAACAGAGTTTTTAATTACACAAGTATTTAATCCTTTTCTATGTTTTACGACTCAATAAAGGTCACAATTAGCCCAATGGTATTCTTATTGCATTGCACCCGAAACTGATGAAAGTTAGGTCAAAACGCTAATCGACAATGTCAAGTCCAACACAACCCTCTCGCCTATGTCCCAGTCTACACCACGGACGTTTATCCGACCCGTCAACACACATTACCTTTTCAGGGATTCGTTCATTATTCAGCCTCTAAACGTTGCATGACCGTTGTTATAGTTGCTATGTTACTAGACCAATTATATTCGTTTATCAATTATAGCAAGCGGATGGTCGCTAACCGGGATTGTATAGCCTAATGCAGTCATACAAATTTAAAATATTTCATGTCATCTCATCGTATGTGAAAAATTATTAACATACATTCTGATAATTGCAGCGATTAAAAAATAATCTTAAATTTCCGAAAACGTTTATAAACTTACTGAATCCACTATAATTATTTATTTTTCTTAATAAAAAACAATGATTCTGGATATATCGATTAATTTTAATTTTATTTTTATTATTGTTTTTTTTTTTTTTTTACTGAACACCCTAATTAATCTTCTCTTCGATTAAAAGAAAATGGGAATCTTTGCTTTTCTGCATTTAAAAATTATTAGAGGACAACACTAACTTATTTATTATTTATTATTTTTATTTAATAATATTAATTTCAACACATTGACAAGATTTAATTTATTTGATAGAACCACAAGCAATACTAGTTACATAGTGGGGTCGGGAGAAACATTGGAGAGTGAGTTCGATGCTCACTTAAGGTAGTTGATATTTATTTAGTAGTGAATATGTGAAGTGTTCTCAGGAGATTTGGTTCACAGTAAAACTTTATTTTTCAATCTCAATAAATCTCTACATCCCCCTTACTTGTTAAGTTAGCCATTAAGGTTCGCCAATAAGCCTGCTTGCCACATACGAGCACAGGCGATCTACGGGGGGAGGGGAAGGGCTTTCCGGGCTGAAGAAGCCCTCCCAAAATGGTAAAATGTAACCATGTTCTATGGAAAAAAATATCTCTTTAAGTACTACTGTTCGTGTAATCACATTTAATAAGAATTCAAGAATCAACTAAACACCATTTCATATAGGTAGTCAGTATCTTTCTTTTTTTTTTCTCAAAGTAATTATCGTTATATATATGAAAAAAAAAAAGCTTTCGGGCAGAAGCCCTTCCTAAAATTAAATCCTAGGTCCGCTAGTGCACACTAGTACCACTCACCAGTATCAATAGGTTTATGATTAATAACAATATGAGTAAATACAATAAAAGTATAATTAATAGTAAAAAAGTTATAAATTATATTAATAAGTACTTGATCAAATCGGAAATTCTTCGCAACCGGTTAAAGATCATCCATTTACGATTGGGTATGCAAGAATTCATCGGGTTGAATATTTATGTTTAACTTGAATCAAGAGATCAATCAGGAGTCAATTATTTTTTTTTTTTAAATCTTTTAATATTTTATTTTTAAAATTCTATTTGTGCTACGAATTCATTTCCTTTTAGAAATGAAAATTTTATGAAGAGAAGAAAAAAGAAGAATTCTGCATTAAAATGTTCAACCAACAAAATCAGGGTTAACGTTATTTACAAAGATTTTACTTTTTATAACATACAGCCAGATAAAATAGAGTAAAATACCTCAAGAAATGCAATATTGAATTTAGCATTTAGTACAATTATTCCTTTTAATACGATAACCATATCTCTGGTCATCTTGTTTATTTGTATTCTATACCATCCCGGAAAGCGGCGGACAAATGAGGAAATGAAGGACGGTATCCACCGTATCCAAGCATGACTGACAGAAGTGTTGAGGTAGGTGTCGGCTGATTTATTAACACAAAATCAGCGTGGTTATCTGATTTGTTTTAATTTATGTACATATAACTCACGATTAGAAAAAGAGAAAAAATAATCTTTTTTTTTTTTTAATTAAATATTAAGTTATCTTCACTGTAGGTCTAACTTTTTACTTGGTAAGGTATCAAAATATTCAAGGATCAAATTAAAAAAAGTAATTAGAGCTATGTTTTAACTTGTTCTATGAAAAAAATGTAAATTATTACAAAACATTTATGAAATATTTTTTCTAAGGTTTAAATACATTTTTTATGTATTTCTTAATTCATACAATATTGTTCTCAACTGTCTATAATAAAATTATTTCTATTGAAGAAGAAAGATCATTGAATTAAGGTCATATAAACAGTACAATTGACGTTTCAACTTTTCTAGAGATCTGATAACAGAATTGATTGGATCTTCTTCTACGTTAAATATAAAAGTGTGCGAATATCTAAACAATAAAATCGAAAGTTTTCATGGATTAAATGTACTGGATAAATAAATTTAAATTCATGTAAAAACTGTCAAATAGCAATAATTTGTTGTCTGGGTTCCGATTTCGCCGACGAGTCCATGGAGAGATTTCGTCAGTAACGTCCGAATTTAAAACTAAATGATTGTGCACATGTTCGAATCGAATTAATCCTAGAATAATATTAGGACAAACGTCAGCTATCTGATATATCAGAGACTAAATAATAACAATGGTACCAAACAAATACGGAAGCTTGAGATAGGAAATACCCTTCGAGCCTCCATGTTTGTTAATCCCTTTGATGCCCTGATTTGGCCTATCAATCTGATTTTGGTATTGTTTAGACAACTCAACGAAATAATACAAATATTTGTTAGAAAGTGTTTTCATTTTCAAGGAATGTTGTTAAAAAGGATTGCTGTGTTTACGTTACCGGTATAATAAACGTTATAAACAAATAGCTGTTGGAATAATAACGAAAAATACAAGCAAACGGATGATAAGTGATGCAGAAAAAAATGTCTTCTAATTTCTTTGTTTAATTGAAAGTTATTTTTCTAACCGCGATGACGAGGTTGAATACGTACCTTTTTTTTATCAAGAAGTTTATTTAAATACTGTCAAATTTTAAATATTTCTTTTATAAAAATCAAAGAAATAAAAAGTCGAAAGATTGCGCGTAGTAAACAACTTACAAATACATAACCGTAAACAGTCAAGTTTTATAGCTCACGAATAGCGAAAAGGTTCTTAATCTGATTCGGTTCCTAATACAAAAGGTGTATGTTACCAGATGTTCGACGAATCCAATAGAATGTGTTCACGAGTTTGTTGACTAGTGTTTTACGCGAGAAACAAGGGCGTGTTGTTTATTGTTGTTGTTGACACCTTGGCTCCCGGTGCACCGCTCATGTTTACGTCCACCGTCGGGTAGGTCGAGGTCGCTACAGCAAGTCACTAGTGCTACGGAAGGGTGATACCTCCAAGAGCGGTACTTCGGCGAAGACCTGGCACTGCGAAGGACAGTAGCAAGCACGGAAGGCAGGCGAACGACTGAGCGGGAAAGGAGTCCCGGGACCTAGTCACGTGATGTTGAGGCTGGTTCCTATTGGCTGGCGGGGACGAGCCCCAGGGATGCTGTGTATTGAGCTGCTCCCACCCTGGCCACCGCCCTCTCCGCCGCTGTCGTCCTTAGGTCAGTCCTTAAGGACCTCTTCCTCGGACCGCTGTCCTGGTGGCTGACGTGGGGCAGCAACTGCCGTACTTATAATAATAGCTCTTTCCAAAATGTTCGTAATAATGTGCTAAACCAGAAAAGAGGAGGAGAAAAAAATACAATAAATAATAAAATTAAAAAAATAGTATTGTAAAAAAAAAATTAAAAAGTTAATGACTTCTTAAATGACTATTTTAGGAAATAGAAAACCATAATCAGTATTCTTTATAATAATCTTTATAAAGATTTACTATGTTTTTTTAAACATTTAAATTTCAATAATGAAAGAAAAGGAACATAAGAAAGAAGAGACAAAATTTATCATAAACAAGAAGAGAAATATCAAATTGAAAATCATCTGAATAATGCATATGTATATAAATCCGCGGGCTCCTCGACAATGGAAAAACATAGGTGTAAGCTGGATTGAAGGTGAGCCCTAACAACCTAATTAACCGTCTATAAATAAAGAAAATAGGCGGATCTACGTGGGGAGACGGAGGGGGGATGAGGGGCTTTCGAGCTGAAGCCCACTCCCTCCCCCCCCAAAATTTAAACTTGTACTTCTCTAATATTTTATTTATTACAATAATTTGTTATTAATTTTCTGAAGGCAGGGAAAAAAGAAGTGCAATGTTTTCCTGATTTTAATGATGTTGACATTTTGTATAGTTCTAATAAGAACACACATTTTTATCACAACAGTCCTACTTTATTTTTCTTTTATACACCATCATTTCAGCCCTTGGCCCATTTTCAAGAGAAGAAATCTTTAAGAAATAAAAAAATTATCACAGCCTAAATATTATTTTCCATTAACTATTATCATTTTATATAAAACGGTACTTGATCATAATGGAAATTAGCTCAAAGTCTAAGTTTGGTGTGGGATTTGAGAGATGCCTCGGTATCCTGATATTTTGTAAAGTTCAAGTGGATTTCATAGCTACCATTGTGTGTCCTGATGTACTCGTAGAGGGGAGGGGAGGATACCAAGAGGGATACCAAATCATTCAATCCCATCAGAAATCTCCCATCTTCACCAATAAATTCATTCGTAAATTCATCATCCTTTGTTGAATTTTGCGATACCCCTTCTGGCCCAATACTTAAGGACAAAAAGGTGTAGGGACGTATGTAATTATTTATAGGAGTGCCGGCCTTGTACAATTGCCTGAGGGCGCCTACTTGTTAGAGAGAGGAATGAGGGGATCCGACACTTATTAGGAATTAAAAGAAAAATGACAAGACTTAGGAGAATAATTAATTATAGCTTATTAATAAAGCAACTGAATTATAGACAAGACCGGTACTGATTTATACCAAATGCAAATATAAGTTTTGCATTTGACACACAAAATACAAAGTAATCTGTCCTTTGAGATCGCAAAGGTTACTTTTAATAAAAATAGTAAAACTAAATCGATAACACCTAATTTCAAGACGTGGAAGAATACTTACATTCTTATGTAAAGAAGAACCAAAATAAGTTTATTAATACGTTTTTCCATATTAAATAAATAAATATTTGATTTAAATTTAAAAAAATTAAACTAATCGGAAATTTATTAATGTTGAGCAATGCATCTTGAGAGGATTATTTTATACTGTATAATTGAACGCGTCGACAACAAAAAACCCTTGATTATTAACAAGATTAAGAAACGAATAAAAATGTTAAGTATGTTTTTGAAGATATCGACCAAACAGATAAATAATGATTTTTTTACACAATCTGAAAGACATTTCATCGGTCCCATGTATGTGAAGAACGCTAATGGATGTAGATAGCTTCAGATTTTCAAATTTTATAGATTATTTCAGCTAATACATTAAGCAAAATATGCAACAATATGTAATATTATAATAACATGTTTCAATCCCATGAAAAGGACGATGAAACTCTAAATAATGCACAATTACAAAACAATTGACTAAATAGCAAAGATAATTTAATTTCCCTAAAAAAACGTCATGAAAACATAAACAGTTTTTAATTAACGAAATGAATTAGCGAGTCGAATTGGTCAACACAATAAAAAATAACTGTAAAGATGAAAACGGTACAAAACAACAAACTAGATTTGGCTTCAATGTCCATTACAATAATTGTCGCCATCGCGCTTAATTGTAAATTAGCCCCACCTCAAAATCTCAAAACACCCAATCTCCTTCGTCATCTTTCTCATCAATAGGATCCATTAGCAAGGGGACTGAAATTAGTTTTCTTAATTCCTTACTTTTTCCTCTTTCTTTGAGAGAGAAAACGCCCTTTTCATCCAACAGAGCAATAGAGATGTAATATTCATAAAAGGAATGTTTTTTAATGTACGGCTGGTTAAATAAAATAAACTAGAATTACTAAAGTTTTACGGAAGAAATTTTAGGCAATGGAGGCAGTGGGATTGATTTTTTTTTTCTATTTATTTCATAGGTTCATCTAAGCCACCTCACGGAAAAACAAAAATCAATTCATTTGAAAAGACCTAAAATGTTCAACATTTAAATACAATAAAACATAACACACAACTACAAACTAGAAAATTAATTTACTGAAGCACGGTAACATGAGCTAATATTGCTAGGTAACAGGTTACCATTGTACAGATCATAACAGCAGGATTACAGTGGACTTCCAACAACCAATGAAGCGAAAGTCTGTTCTAGCGATTAATAGCCTTCTAAAGGATTATTCTAGCTTTCCTGGCGAGACAGTAAGTGCAGCTGTGCTGGGTAATGTAAGACCACTTTTTCTATTAATGCTCTTTGCTATGATGATGAAGAATACATAATTAAAACAGGAGAAAACGTTTCATGAAATGTGAATATAACAAGAGGATAAATAAATCTGATGATCGCAAAATGGTAAGTAGTAATTTCTAAATTTCGATGACTTATTAATTAAAAATATATTTTAATCGCCACAATCAGAGACCGATATTAATTATATTAACTCAGCTATGGAGCTCATTAAACGAATTCATCGCACAATACCTAGAGAACTGATCAGGATTTCAAAGACCACTAATCCAAAATCCCTCAAGTATTTGAGGTTAAACGAAGTGGATCACATACACCTGAAGACACGGGCGGATCTACGGGGGGGGGAGGGAGAGGAGGCTTTCGGGCTGAAGCCTCCCCCCAAAATGAAAAAATATAACCATCTTATATGGAGAAAAAAAAATTTAAAAATACCTCTTAAAGTATTATTCTTCGTGTAATTACATTTAATAGTACTTAAGGAATAACTTAAACACCATTTCATATAAGTTTCTTTCTGTTTTTCCAAAGTAATTATCGTTATTTTTATGAAAAAAAAGGTTTCGGGCTCAAGCCCCCCCAAAATTAAATCATCTGGATCCGCTAGTGCCTGAAGATGTCTGGATCATGAGAGCGAAACCCAATAAATACCGTCATTAGTCTTAGTTGGTGTTCATGAAGTTCCGCAAATATTTAAAAGGACGTAGAAGGTAAAAGGTTGCCAGGATTATCTATTTAGCGTACCACCAAGCTTTCATGACTACGTTCTAAGAAGGCGTAGTATATTTCTTATCTGAAGAAGTCAGTTAAAAAAAATCTTAAATTGTAAGAACACAATATCATACTCAGCATGCCCAAACGTCTGTCTATATATATATATATATATATATATATATATATATATACTGTGACACAAATCTCCGAGAATAATAACACCGAGAAACATTTCGTGTATAAAGCAGTACTAAATTAACAAATAGAAATTGTGAACACTTTAACTTTCAATATAAGCAAGGATGTTTAAGTTCAATAATTTAAATTATCTGAGTGACACTTCTTAATGCACTAAATTGAAATTACTTAATTAAAAGAATTTTACAACCAATAATAACATTAAAATAGAACAAACGTAACACGAGTAAAATACAGAAAACTGCGGGTTCGTTTGTTCTTCTGTACAAAGGGAGTAGAGACAGAAGCCTTTTTCTCTTCCTTTAGTTTTTTGTTCAAAAGGTTTAAAAGGATAAAAGAAAGGGTAGTTTATGAAGCAAAGGACTCCTTTTGCCAACAAGAGAAGGTTTTTTTTTTACCTAACCGTTCGTTTTCGATGTGATATTACAAAGTCCCCTAAGGAGGGAATGTTGCATAAGAGTTGGCTTTCAGTTGATAAGAACAGTGAACTGTGGCAATTAAAGAATTTGAGTTTTAAAAAAACATTCCCGAACCAAACATTAAGTAAATGATCGTTTAGGATAAATGAACCAAGCTGTTACGGTTTAGTCTTCCTCACCACCAGTTCAATTCTTCTATTGTATCCTCCAGTATCTTCTTAGAGGTCCTGGAATAATCTATTTTCACCCAAAGGTAGTCCGGTTGATCGGCTATGCATTCTCTCCTAATTTTGTAATGATAGTAGTCTTCTCTCAGCTGGGGATCGAGAGGTATTTCTCCTGCGAAGACCTGCACTGACTCATGAGGCACCGTCCTGTGTGGTCTGGTGACTCGAAGCAGAGTCATCCATTGAATGATTCGGCTCCAGATAGGAGACGCTATCATCAGGATACTCCCAATAATCATTTATAAATGGCCAGAATTGTTGGGTATCGGAGGTCCAAAAGGCACCCATACGACTGAATCCGTTAAGAACAAGGGTCACACTACTTCTTAAATAAACTGATTGACGTGTTACGTTGAACTTTCTTCCAATCCTAATTCCAAGATAGCTGAACTCACTCGGACGTATTCTTGATTTTTGTAATCCCATAGTTGTAGGTAGAGCCCAATCAATCATTAATCTCAAGAGGATGGCCTGAGTCATGGTAGTGACCATCCTCAATTTCCGCCTCCTGTACCATTCTTCTATTAGGTTGACGCACCATTCAAATCTGGCTCAGCTGCTTGATGCTACCTCAACGGCCAGATCATCTGCATAAGCCTTGCTTAGAAGAAAAGGAAGAGGTAGCGTAGTAAGACATAGGCACGGCGTCGGGGGATGGCAGAGGATGAAAATACGGGGCCCATTCTCCACCCACTTTCAATTTAACCCTAACACATTTTTT